CTGCCATATATGCAGGGAACGGCGTGGCACAAAGATGTTCCACCTCTTTGGACTAATCTACTACCACCTAGTCTACATTAGAGAGTTTTCTTTTTATCCTAAACACTGGTTCTTCAAGTACCATGCCCTGCAGGCACTAGTTTCCCCATTCCTTTAACAAGATCAGCTTAAGTTGTTTGGTTGTTTTAATTCCGATGGGGGAGGGAGCTGCTGCAGGATTTGGTGTGGAGGCCCTGACAGTAGGATGTGAAAAAAACAGCTTTGACCATGTCTGGCAGAAGAAACCTAAGCTGGAAGATCGGTGTGAAAAGCTGCTTGTCAAGGTTTGTTTGTCACTCCAACGTGAGTTTTTTATGAAGAATCCCCTTGATCGAGTGCATAAGAATTTTCTGAATATTAGTGCCCAAATGCGTACATTCCTGATCCCTGCAAGTTCATGGCACTGAGATAGCGTATGTAGTGAAGACTAAGTCCAGGAATCCCTCATTTTGATGTTGTCCTCTTATATGCAAGCGCTTAAAGCAGATGAGAACATTTCTTGCACCCTTTTCTTTATTGAGTGGCCCATGCTACTGAGAGTAAGCTGCAGTGAAGGAGATGGTTCAGAAGAAGTGGGTTCACTGAGTCCAGGGTTTTATATTGTAACTGGATTTTGTTTGTCTGTGTGGATATTTTCTTCTGCAATCTTCTCTACCTAGTAGGCTAGCTGCAGCTGTGGGTGCAGCAAAGAACCCACAGTGGTACAGAACAATAAGGATGGTGGTGTCTGGTAGGTCTAGGTCACCTGAAAAACTGTTCATTTGCAGAAATGTGCTGCCAGAAGTCTTCCTTGTCCGGTGTTTGGTTTTGTTCAGGATTGACCAGTCACCAATCTGCATTGGCTTATGCTGTGGGGTTGACAGTCCAATTCCCAGGGGCCAGGTAGGAAATAGCTGTTCCATTGGCAAATGAGATCTAATCTGCTGCAGGAGGAGTAGCCTCAGCTCTATCCGTTACCCATCTTGAGAATTTCAGAAGGTATCACTGTCTCAGCTGAAGGATGAAAGCAGGGAGGAGCCTCCAAGAGCCTCAGAGCAGCTAGTTTTTCTATTGTTGGAAGTGCCAGCCTCTTACAGAGTGCAACTTCTCTGTGTGTACTGCATCCAGTTATAGTCTGACTATTGTTTATCTTGTAGCGTTTGCTCTGCAACCTTATATATATTTTTAATGAAAATTGGGCCAGAGCCAAGTGTTATGCACAAAGTGGGGATAGGAGGTTGTTTTTTTTTACCCCCTCCCTCTCCAGTCAACAGCACAGAGGCATCCAAGGGAGGTTTCTCATTCATGCGGGAGCCTAGGGTCTGAAAGCTCATCACTGGCTCCTGTAGGAATAGGACTGAGGGTCTTGGCAGGACTGCTCTGGGCTTTGAATGCCCTGTTTCACTAAAGGAAATAATCTCCTTCCCGCTAGGGGTAGCAGGGCACTAAACATGGGAAAAATGTCACTAGGCAAAGCAAGCAGCCTGCATGGATCCAATGGATGGATGGCAGAATAGACTGTTTGCCTCTGGACTATCTCAGCTAGCACTTTGGCCCCTCAAAACTGTTCTTTTTCAAGCCCCTAGAAGGAACACTGAAATTTTCCAGTCTACAAACCCATGCTGAAAAAAAACTCATGCAAGCTGCATTATTTTTGCTGGGTTTTCAGACAAGCTCTGTTAGCATTCCAGTTTGGTGGCCAGCAAGGACCATGCTGAGACTCCGCTGTGTGACAATCAGATGACTTTGATTAGAGTAGACTGATGAATCTGAGCAGTGCACATCTATTTTAGGACAACCATTCAGTTACTAAAATGCTTCCTTTGACCAAATGGATATCTACTTGGCTTCAGCTGACCTTGCTGGAGGTAGCTCCTTCTTGCTCTCCTACTCTGTCACAGGACATAAAATCTGGGTAAAATTATCTTGCAATTTTGCCCTGAAAGTTACCCATCTGCCAGAAGTGGGAGGTTTCACCTGAGGTGTAAGGAATTCAAGGATGAAATAGCTGAATTGCCAAACACAGTGTGTAACTTTTCTCTTAAAAAATTCTTGCCACCTGGAGTCTGGAAGGTAGTCAAATATAGCATCAGTCTTTAAAAATATTTTGGAAGGATCCAACAAATGAAGGCTTGTAAGTAGCCTTGTAGACAGTTCACATGTCAAGTATGTAAACTAGTAAAAGCAATATTAAAAAATATTTACAGCGGGCATCAGGGAAAATATAGTTGTCTCAGTTTGAGAAAAGTCATATCTATGCAATTTCTGTAGTTTTCAACAAAAGTCCTTGTTGGGAAGCTGAGTAGGTATTTAATAAGAGGGAAGGTCTTGATTCATGGAACTGATTGGCTAAAAGGTCGGAAATAGAGGGTAAGAGAAAATGCGAAAAAAAATTCTCTCAGTGAAGGGATGTTGCCAGTGGAATTTTCCCGGTCAGTACTGGGATCTATACTGTTGAATGCATTCATAAATGACTTGGAAAGGAGGGAGACTGGTGAGACTGCAAGAAGTGGTGATAACGAACTTTTCAAGGTACCAAGGAGAAGGGCCAGAAGTGAAGTATCACTGAAAAACTCTCACCTTGAGACATGTGGTTCTGTTTCTCTCGTCCCTCAAGAATACATTAGAACTGGGAATGTCCCAAGTAGGATGTTCTTGGGACCAGAATAGCTTCCATACAGAAATGAGTGAGCCTCTTCAGCTTTGAAGAGTCACAGTTGAGAAGGTGGTGTGGTGAGGATACAAAAAAATCATAGAATCATAGAATGCTTAAGGTTGGAAGGGACCTCTAGAGGTCATCTAGTCCAACCTCCCTGCACAGGCAGGGTCACCTAGAGCACATGGCACAGGACTGGGTCCAAGCGGGTTTGGAAGATCTCCAGAGAAGGAGACTCCACAACCTCTCTTGGCAACCTGCTCCAGTGCTCTGTGACCCTCGCTGTTAAGAAAATTTTCCTTAAGTTCCTGTGGAACTTTTGGTGCTTCAGTTTCTGGCCGTTTCCTCTAGTTCTGTCGGTGGCCACCACTGAAAAGAGGCCAGCAACATTCTCCTCACTGCCTCCCTTGAGATACTTTTATATATTGATTAGATCCCTCTCAGCCTTCTCTTCTCCAGGCTGAACAGGCCCAGCTCTCTCAGTCTTTCCTTATTGGGCAGATGTTCCAGGCCCCTGATCATCCTTGTAGCCCTGCGCTGAACTCTCTCCAGCTCCTCCCTCTCGTACTGTGGAGCCCGCAACTGGACACAACACTCCAGATGCTACCTCACCAGGGCTGAGTAGAGGGGCATGCTGCCTCATGGTCAGCTTGTCATCCATCATGACACCCAGGTCCTTCTCTGCAAAGCTGCTCTCCAGAAGGCCGGTACCCCAACCTGTACGGTGTCTGGGGTTATTCCTCCCCAGGTGCAGGACTTTGCACTTGGCCTTGTTGAGTTGCATGAGGTTTTTCACTACCCAGTTGTCCAGGTCCCTCTGGATGGCAGTGCAGCCCTCTGGGGTATCAGCTACTCCTCCCAGTTTCGTATCATCAGCAAACTTGCTGAGAGAGCACTCTGTGCCTTCATCCAGGTCATTGATGAGTAAACTGAACAGGACTGGACCAAGGACTGACCCCTGGGAGACACCACTAGCTACAGGCCTCCAACTAGACTCTGCACCGCTGATCACCACCCTCTGAGCTCTGCCATTCAGCCAATTCCTAATCCACCTCACTGTCCACTCATCTACCCCATACTTCTGGAGCTTGGCCCAGAAGACGCTGTGAGGGACAGTATCAAAAGCCTTGCTGAAGTTGAAATAGATGACATCCACCGCTCTCCCCTCATCTATCCAGCTGGTCATTCCATCACAGAAGACTATCAGGTTAGTCAAGCACGATTTCCCCTTAGTGAATCCATACTGACTACTCCTGAACACCTTCTTGTCCTCCACATGCCTGGAGACAATGGCCAGTATGAGCCGTTCCATCACTTTTCTGGGAACAGAGATGAGGCTCACTGGCCTGTAGTTGCCTGGGTCCTCCTTCTTGCCTTTTGTGAAGACTGGCGTGCCATTGACCTTCTTCCAGTCCTCCAGCACCTCCCCCATTCTCCAGGATCTTTCAAAGATGATGGAGAGCAGCTTAGCTATGACCTCTACCAGCTCACGCAGCACTCTGGGGTGCATCCCATCAGGGCCCATGGATTTGTGGGTGTCAAGTTTCCTTAGGTGCTCTCTGACCCAATCTTCCTCTACCCAGGGCAAGTCTTCCTCTCTCCAGGCTTCTTCTCTTGTCCCAAGGGCCTGGGGCTCTAAAGGGCTGCCCTTGGTAAACACCGAAGTAAACAAGGCATTCGGCAACTCTGCTTTCTCTGTGTTTTTTGTAACCAGGGTACCCACCCCCATTCACCAGCAGACCCACGTTTTCCCTGATCTTCCTTTTGCTGTTAATATATTTGAAAAAGTTTTTCTCGTTATATTTAACATTCCTTGTCAGATTGCGTTCCAAAAGTGCCGTAGCTTTCCTTTTCGCATCTTTCGCATTGCCACAAGCTCCCTGCTCATCCGCGCAGGTCTCCTGCCCCCTTTGCCTGACTTCTTACACACAGGGATGCACTGTTTCTGGGCGTGGATGAAGTGCTGCTTGAAAACTAACCAGCTCTCTTGGGCCCCCCTTCCTGCTAGAGCTCTAGCCTATGGGATTCTTCCAAGGACTCTGAAGAGGCTAAAGTTGGCTCTCCTGAGGTCCATGCTTGCAAGGCTACTTACAGCCCTGCCTCCTCCTCGTTGTATCCTGAATTCCACCAACTCATGGTCTCTGCAGCCAAGGCTACCCTCCACCTTCACATCTCCTACAAGTCCCACTCTATTTGTTAGGACAAAATCCAGTAGTCCACCTCTCATTGTCGGCTCCTCCACAACCTGCATCAAAAAGTCATCATCAATGCACTAAGGGGAACCGCCAGGTCTGTTTGTCCCTGGCTGAAGTAAACCACAATGCACTGATTCCACCGAGGCTCCGAACCCAGGACCTTCTGCGTGTAAAGCAGATGTGCTAACCACTACACTACGGAACCACCAAATTACAGTTAGGATGAAGAGTATAGATGGAGTTTGAGTGTTTACTTTCTCCCCCAGTGCAAGAATGTGTGTTTTTCAAAGACAAGAGTGGAATTGGTTTCCAAACAAACAAAAGGAGCCAGCTCTTCATGCAAGAGCCAGGCAATTGGTTGTGCTCCCTGACAAAGACATTGTTCATATAGTATCTTTACAGGGCTTCAACAGAAGTGCAGATTGACATACTGAGGAGTCCCTTGTGGTGGCTTTTCTGTTTTGTAAACCCCTGAGTTAAGTATCAGGTACAATGGAATCCATGCTTCTAATATCTCCTGCTGTGCTCAGATCTCGAAGGGAAGGGCTCCGCAGCAGAGACTCGTGCCTTGGACTTTGCCTTGAGGAGTGAAACGGTGGCAAAAGCCACCAAGCAAAAGCAAAGGAAGTGCGAGGCAGCCCCAGTCTCTCCCGTGCAGGCGGTGTTGCCCAGCCCCTCACCAGAGGTGGCTCTGAGGCAGCGAGGCAGCATGGTGCCACCATGGAGTAGCCTTGGAAAAGCTAAGGAGCTTCAGAGATTGCGAGAAAGAAACTGGTGGAGTCACACGCTGCAGTCATCTGAGGAAGTGCGCTAGGGGAGCGCTCCTAGTTCATCTGAGGATTCCCTACCCCCCTGCCATAGGGTGGAGGGGACAGAATTAAGAGCCGAGAAGGGACGGAAACGGGTCCCTGCCCAGGGCAGCAGGAGAATCCCTTCCCGGCTCCCCAGGTGACTTAGGCAATAGGTATGAGGCATGGAACTCAAGGGACAGGCAAAGGAGGACACTGACACCAGAGTGAGGCAGTCAATCCCACACCTTAAGACTGCCTCTGCTAAGAAGAAAAGAAGGGTAATTGTTGTGTGTGACTCAAGTTGCACTAGGGGAGGTTCAGGTTAGATACTGGGAAAAAATTCTACATGGAAAGAGTAGTCAAGCATGGGAACAGGTTGCCCAGGGAAGTGGTGCAGTAACCAAGGGCTGGTAGTGCTCAAGAAACATGTAGATGAGACATCTAGGGACATGGTTTAACAGACATGGTGTTGAAGGGTTTACAATTGGCCTCAATGATCTTGAAGGTCTCTTCCAATCATAATGATTCTATGATTCTAAGGAATATCCTTCTTTCAGTCATGTTTCTTTCCTAAAAGGGATGGGCGATATTCCCCTAGGTAAAAACCTGTGTGATAGCTCATGGAGTCCTTGTTCTAGTCCAGCCTCCAAGAAGAGGTTTGGCTATGGAGAGAATTTGCTCACTCGGATGTGTCACTGTCACCGGTATTTATGCAGTACATGCATGATAATCCTTTTGATCTCTGCAGGCATCTGGATTTCTTCTGCTTGGCTGATTGGCAAGCAGCCTAGTTCATGCAAGCTGGCAGCCGCAAAGGTGGAGACTGGTCAGAAAGAGCTGGAAATTATGTGGATCCTTTCTGGAGACTCCCCCCTTCCCTTTGCACCTTGAAGGTATTGCATGTCTTATTGCACAAACTCACTTTTGGCATCTCTGTGGTCACAGTGCAAGGCCTTCTTTTAAGAGCTCTCTGAATGCGGGAATGGGAGAGTGGAGGGGAGGGAGGAGTAGGCTCCAGGTTCACTTCAGAGCATTGATCTGGCTGCAGTAATCAGCTATTGCCTTTCTTAAGTACCTCAAGGGAGGCAGTGAGGAGGATGGTGCTGGCCTCTTTTCAGTGGTGGCCACCGACAGAACTAGAGGTAATGGCCACAAACTGAAGCACCAAAAGTTCTGCATGAACTTAAGGAAAAATTTTTTAGCAGTGAGGGTGACAGAGCACTGGAACAGGCTGCCCAGAGAGGTTGTGGATCTCCTTCTCCGGAGATCTTCCAAACCCGCTTGGATGCAGTCCTGTGCCACATGCTCTAGGTGACCCTGCATGTGCAGGGGGGTTGGACTAGATGACCTCTAGAGGTCCCTTCCAAACTTAAGCATTCTATGATTCTGTGATTCTTACCAGAGGATAGCAACACTACATTGCTATCTGTAAAGAGTCTGGGTCTCCAGGAGCTTGGGGGAAAGCACTGGGATGGGCAGCTCTGTCATCATTTGCAGGCAAACTCCCATCTGCTGTAGCACCCGAGTGTTTTCCCCCCAGCTCTTTGAGTAAAGCTTGTTGAGTGTAGGATTCCTTTCTGTCATTTGTGTGCATCATAGCATACATTTGTAGCATCTGGCTGTGACACCTGGTCATCCATGCAAGGGTTCTTCAATGTTCACATTTCCATAAACATCAAAACTTATGTTTATCCCCACACCTTTACCAACTAGGAAAGGAAAAAAAAATGCTTATCAGGAAAGACTGTGCAAAGGGCTCCTTTCCAACTCCTTCCTAGTTTCCCCTTACTTCCCCTTGCTTTGTCCTATTTCTCCACCACAGCTCTATTCACATGCTATTCTCCTGACCTTGAATAAATCCACACATGAAATGTGTGTAGCACAAAGGGGTTTTTGGATCTCTATTTGCTTGGGAGTCCTTGGCAGCTTTTCCTGTGAGGAACACATGGAGAGTAAACATTTTTCCCAAATTTACAGTGATGCTGCTGGAGTTGAGGACAACAGAAGTGACAGCAAGTACCCGAGAGGAGGTCTGAGAATGGTAAAGTCAGAAGATTAAAGTGCAAGGGAAGGGTGTGGAGAGAGGAGAGATAGAGAAGAGTAAAATTAAGAAAGGATTCCAAGAACAGATTTGCCAGCAGTTTTTCAATATGTTTTTCCTAGAGTTGAGCTCATAACAAGTTGCTAGAAGCCAATAGTTATTGTAGTCAGTAGCCAGTAGAAGATGCCAATGCAAATGCTGACTACCTCCACTAGTTACCAGTTGCATCAGTTTCCAGTACTGGTGGTTTCTGACAACACCATATACCAGAGGCATTTATGCTGCTAGATATCTTCTTGGTAATGTGAAAAAAAAATGCAGCTTTACCTCTGGGAGATGTATAGAAAGAGTGCCACTATGTGGTGACAAGAGAAATGTCATGCCCTCTTTTCACTGGGAGTTTACACAACAGCTCTCTCAAGCTAAGGGAAAAATTCCTGATCTCTCCTAAGAGTTTGGGTTGTGTACAGCAAGGGAGCAGGAACAACACCCCAGGCATTTCCATTGCTGTCTTCCCCTCTCCAACTCCTCCTCTCTCCCAGAAGCCTTTTAACATAGGTGGTGCAAAATGTGTTCTGCTCTATTATGTGCGTTAATGTCATATTGCTCTTCACATGGAGAATATAAGAAAGCTTGATTTAAAGTATGTAGGAAGTAGCAAATTTCCAGGTAGGATGTGGGCAAGATTTTTTGCCATTCTTTGATCCTTCATACCTGAGAAGTGGATCCTGCTTTCAGAAACAAAACAAAACAAAACAAACAAACAAACAAAAGGTTCCCGGTGGACAAGAGCTGCCAGGCTGCACAGGTCTTCATTCTGACCAACTTTCCTTCATTCTAGAGCTGGAGTGGGATCAGTGTTATCATGCCAGGCAGGGGTCCTCCAGTTGAGACCTGTCTGAGACTTTCTAGGGATGACCTGGGAGCAGAAAGCAGTGCCACTGTGCCCAGCTCAGCTCTGGAAGGGCTGGCTTGGAGACCTTTCCAATGCAGTCACTACATGCACAGCCCAGAATGAAGACCTCCTTGGACTTCATTCTGCAGCTACCTGCTCTCCCACATGCCCCTTTCCAGTCCCTTCAATGTTGCCCTGTGCCCCTTGCAGGCTCACCCCCACCAAGGACAGGCTCACACCAACTCAGAAAGACAGTTATTTGCCCAGGAAAAGGCCATTTGTGTTTTTGCGGATGGCTCTGCATAGCTGGCAATCCTGTAGTTCTTGGCTGTGGAGGCTGCAACAGCGTCCTGTGTGAATCAGGAGAAAGGTATTGAGCCACTCTGGGTGCTTAGGTGCCCGCTGGGAATCTGATGGTGCATCCTGGCCCTCCAGCCCATCTCCATGGAAGGCTGTTTGAGGCCAGGGCAAGCTCCAAAGTCACTTGTGTGCTCTGGGGGTGGGGTGTATTTATTGTTGAGCCTCTTCCTGCTCCTTCAGCCTCTGCCGATTCAGGTCCACCTTGTCCTTGCAGCTGTCCCGAATCACTTTGTAGGATGCCGTGAGCTGCACATTCAGCTTGGTTTGCGGCAACAGATCCCTGCAAGGGGAGTGACCAAGTCCCTCTGCCACTTTGGCAGGAGCCTGGAGCCTCAGAGCAGAGGAAACCAGGGGCTCTTAAAAGCTATACCCAGAACACAGGGATTTGAGGGCCAGCACCTGTACACCATGCTGGTCTAGCACAGTCTAAGGACCTGGCTTGATGCAGGAACCCCATGAACACTCACATTTTCGCTGGCTGGCCTGTGGCTGGGGAGCAGCGCTGCTCCACATGGACCTGCTTCTTCAGAATTTCCATCTGTTGGCAGGGGCAAGAAAAGCAAACGGTTTCAGGATGGCAAGGGGAATGGGGGAGACAGCGCTGGCTCCTTCGCAGGGGAGGTGCCAGATCCTCGCCCTGGCTGCCTGTGAGGCCCTGCCACCCTGCAGGTGGGAGATGGGCCTTTTCCTCAGGGCTGTCCTAGACATCCCCTACCCTATTGCGCTGCCGGGTGCACTTGTCCACCCTTGCCTGCAGCTCCTCCAGGATTTCACGGTCTGCCTTAGCCTTCTCCTGGAAAAGGGAGAGGCGGGCGGCTCTCGCAGGGCACTGTGGGGCAGGGAGGGCTGTTTTCTGGGGCAGCACAGGAAGGAACAGGTTTAGACTTCTCCATTTAGGGAGGGATCTCTTCGGAGGGGGCCTTGTTGGCTTGTGCTCTTCACCCTCCCTCCTGCCCCTGCTGCTGAGCCTCACCAACAGCTAGGCTGCTGCCAGCACGGTGGAAAGCTGCTCTCTCATGCCCTGAGCAGACCCAGCAAAGCAGCCCCAGGTCTCTGACCCCATCCAAGCCAATCAGCACCATCTTGGCAAGAGCAAAATCTCAGGAGAATTTCTACAG